CCGGGGGGCGCGCAGCGGGGGCGCGGCCCGCCTGCCTCTGCTCTGTAGAGAACAAGACTTTGATACGATCACATCTGGTTTTGCAAAAAGCTGAGCCCGGTGCTCAAAGCGGAGCGGATGAGAGCCCACATCTTCAGGGTCTTAAGAAGCCAGGCTGCAAGGGGTCTGTGAGCTGGCCTTAGCTAGACCTTGCTTGCATCTGGACTTGCTTCTTGAAGAGGGGTCTAGATTTAATCGAGCAAACTAATTTCAGGGACCAAATCTCACAGCAGAGGCTGCGTTTTGTGGTTGTAAGGGGAAAACAAACCATGGAGATGTCCCCACAGGTTTCTCCCAGGGAGGGTCTGTTTTTCTGACTGTCCCTAGACACAAGACCAATACAAACTAGAGATGAGGGGTCTGCTCTGCCGGCTGGCTGGGCGAAATGGTTTGGCCACGCCGGCCCTGCCAGGAACAGCACCCATGTAAGGAGTTACTGTGCTGCTCCATCACCCCACGCCTGAGACCGCCCATGCTGGTACGTACAGATGGACACACCACGAGAGCTATGCCACTGAAAAGTCCCTCCGCGGCAGGAGCAGGCCACCGACAAACAGAAGGAGTTCCCCCTGCCATCCGCATGTCATGGGAAAAACAAACACAACGGAACAAAACAAACAAATAGTTTGGAGATGCCCAGAAGCACAGACCAAGAGGAAAGGCCAGAGGCACTCGGCTCACCGGCTGAATTCAGGGACTGTAAAGAAGAATGCAAGCTCAGCTGGTGGGCCGAAGATCTTAGCTCAAAGTAGGATCTCCCCGGAAAGCTGGGTTGTAGATTAAGGGTGGAGGAGAAAGGACTCATTCTACGAAGCTGCGATCTTTCCAAAGGCACTGGAAAAGGGAGGGTCTGTTCTTCTGACTGCGTGTCTAAACGTAAGATCAATGCAAACTAGAGATCAGAAATCGGGTCTGCTGGACGGTGTCACTCCGTCGCCCAAGACCAGACCTCGGACCAGCGCACAGATGCTTCGGCACGCACGGACCCTGCTTTGCTGCAGCGAGCGTGCGTACGGTGCACGGAGCAGAAATGTCTGGTGCTGTGCAACCCAGCGAGACCCTTCAGGAAAGCCTTGCCTCTGACAGTACCGGCAATAAAGATATTTTCATCTTCCAAAACGTTCCCATGTCATCATGACAAATTCAATATGCTTTTCTTTACAGTGAGTGCTGCACCTCTTCATAGTAATGCACCTAAAAAAATTCACAAATTACCATGCACCCTTCCCATCGTTCTCCAATAAATCTCATACCTTTTTGTGCCCAATAATTACCGGCATAAAAGCTCGTTGGTTGCTAACGCCAAAAGGCATTTGGCAGGGCTGTACTAAGCTATAGAACCCTAAGTACCACCAAGCACCCACCTTACTCAAGGGTTGTTCGGGATGTTGTGTTCGTGGTATCCCTTTGTACCTGTCAAAACACATCTGAGCCTTACAGTAAGAATTTAACGCATGTGATTCACAGCAAAATGTCAGAGTCGAGGGAACCTCTTGGGTCATCAGTTTCTGTTCCCCGCTACCACAAATGGTCACCTCCTGCAATTTCTTCCCTAGCCTTGTCAAGGGATACGTTAACATGAAAATGTAGGATCCACCATCCTCCACACATTCAAATCAGATAAACTCCTGGACACTGTATCCCCAGCCTTCCTCTGTCTCAGCTGTGAATACGGACTGAGCTGGAAAGCCCGTTAAAACCGATAAAAGGAAGCGTTTCTTTGCAGAGCGGATTGTAACGTCTGCAACGTGCTGCTGCGCCAGGCTGTGGAAGCAAAGAGCGTCAGTGGCTTCAGACACGGGTTAAACGAATTATTGCACAACAGGCCAATACATGGAGCTCAAGGTTAGGGAGGGAACGTGCCCTCTAACACCTACCAAGAGTGAGAGGAACTACTACCAAGAGTAGCCGGGCTCGTGGCTCTCCCTAACTAGCATCTTATGTTCCTACAGCTCCTTGCAGCCTATCTCCCCTTGTGGTGTTCACCCCTTTCCAAAAGCTGCTGGTTAAAAAGCCCTGGTTGCTGCTGAGGGTCACTCCGTGGCTGGTAAGGAACCTAAAGTTGGGGCTCAGATGAGGAACGGGGCTTGAAAGAAGCAGAAAGCTTCTGGTGCTTGACTAGGCTGGGGAAGGGCTCTCTGGGGTGGTGGCCAAGCCCCTTTGCCACATCCCCAGCTCAGGTGGGTGGCAGAGGCAGTTGGGAGTGGCTGCTCCTGGCGTTGGCAGAGTCGGCCAAGTTTGGGAACCCGGGAGAGGGGACAGTGGGGCACAGGGTGTGACAAGCCAGGTGTTCCTCCCTGATCCTCTGTTCCTAGGCTGTGTCTCAACAAAGATATGAGAAGCCAAAACCAGGCTTGCCTTGAAACTCTGCAGCCATGCCTAAAACTCAGAGCAGCCGGGAGAAGGGGGAGCGGAGCCACAGCTCTTCCCCCGCGCTGGCTCTCAGTGCCCAGGAGAGCGTGGGTGAAGGCATGAAGCAGCCCAATGGAAGGGCCGAGCTGTGGGCATTCAAAGAGACCCAGGGAAGGGTGAGAACAGAGCAGCAGATTTTGGCAGGAGGGAGGTTGAACCTTTGCACCAGGGAGAGCAGATCTGGGCCTGGGGAGCAGGCAGGGACAGTCCCCTCCAGCACTGCTGAGCTCCTCTTCTCCATCTCCACCTGGTCCTTCATCCCATCACCCAACTTGCTGGACAGCTCATGGAAAGAAACAACACCGGAGGGACTCAGAAGCCATCTCAGAAATCCTTGTGGAGAAAAGCAGCCCAGCAGCCAGCCCACCTGCAGACTCCAATTCCACTGTGACTGGGAGGTCTCCTCCTCTGTTCCTTGCCACCATGCGTTAGGTGCCCGTTGCTGGGAGCGGCCGTTTGCATCCCACCATGACCAGCAGAGCCCGGGGCTTCTGCAAGGCCTCTTCAGAGGCTGCTCTTGCTGCAGCCATGAATGCACCAAGGAACCGTGCATTGTGCACAGCCCCGAGGCTGGGTAAAAAAATCGGAAAGTGCTGGGAGGAAAACAGCCTGGGTCCCAAAGTCAGAAGGAGACTGGCCAGAGGTTGGAAAATCTGCTGGATGAGGAAAGACCAAGAGAGCTGGGGCTGCCCAGCCCAGAGAAGAGGAGGCTGGGGGGAAACCTGAGGTCTCCCGGAGGCGAGGGCAGCCGAGCAGTGCTGTCAGCGGCCAAGCCTTGAAAGATGTCTGTGCCTAAGGACAGGGTCACCTTCCAAACTTTCTTCCAGGCTGATTTCCAAGCCTACAGGTGAATTTCACGCAGGTGCTGAAGAATTGGAGAGGTTAAGCCAGACCCCACATCGCAGTGCCTTGGAGCCTGCAGTGATGGTCCTGGGGGGCACTGGCTAGTGACAGGGCAAGAGGTAGTCCTAGGGCTGCTGCGAAACAGCCCAACATCAGGCAGGGAGATGACACATTTCAAGGTAAGGACCATGGCAGCCCTTGCTGCCATTTGGCTGTGCTGATGATGGGGATCTTCATCCCTGGGAAGCTCCAGAGGCCCTAACATGTTGGAAGGGCTTTGGGGCACAGATCCTCTCCCAGCCAGGAGCCACCTTACCCTGCTGGTGGCACCAAGCACCAGCTTTGAGGAGGAGTGAACTACAATTTCCTCAGCTGGAAAACGTAGTTCCTTTGGGACGAGCAGGAGAAGACGTGCCATGCCATGGGCTGGGAAGGTGCTCTGCAGCTTGCTGTAGGCTTCTGTGTGTGCTGGTTTCCCGTGGGACATTCCCATCGGTGCTGGCTGCCTTGGTTCAGCTGGGCAGGACAACAGAGGCATGCCCGCAGCGGCCCAGACACAATTTTACCTTCTTCTCATCCTGGTATCAATACAGGCTGGGGGAAGAAAGGAGGGAGAGCAGCCCTGCCCAGAGGGACTTGGGGGTGCTGGGGGATGAAAGGCTGGACATGAGCCAGCAATGGGCGCTGGCAGCCCAGAAGCCAACCCTGCCCTGGGCTGCATCAGGAGAAG